AGAGAGAGCACACAAATACGGCAAAATATTAACACAATGAATTTAGGTTATATGGGCATTTACCATTCTAGTTTACTATAGGTTTGAACATTTTCAAAATAAAACTTTGGGCATAAGATGTGATCCTTCTAACCCTTGAAGGAAGCTCAGCTTGCATTCCAGCTCTTCTGTAAACCCGTGTCTCACTCTAAGCAGAAATTCTCTTTCTCTCCTGTGGTCTGTGGCATTCTGTGCCATTCATCCCTGAACTCAAGCTCTCGGATATTTGGGCCCCACTCCTCAATCTAGAGAATTCCAAGAAAACAGAAGTCCTGCCCTGTTCACTTGGTCCTCCCATCATAGCCCATCACAGGGCTTGACCCTGAGATTTTCAGAGGATTTTTTTTTTTTCACTGATAAATTGAATGCATGAAAGAGAGTAACTTGGGTAGAGGGAAGTATTACAGGGCATTTCAACTCATCTCTTAATTTTATTTGAACTATAAAGTAAACAAACAAAACCCCATACTACCACTCCAATCACTACCCTTAAACAGGTATTTAGTTCCACTCTTGGTAAGGATACATTGTCTAAAAAAGGAATTTTCTTTGATTATAAAGAGAAAGAAGGCAGCTACTTTCTTTTCTTTCCAGAAGGGGTCTCCTCAGAAACCTAATGATCCAGTGGAACTGCAGACTGGTATAGCCACTGTGGAAAACAGTATGGAATCTCCTCAAAAAACTAAAAATGGAACTGCCTTTTGACCTGGCAGTTCCACTGCTGGGATTATCCTGCAAGAATTCTGAAACACCAATTCAAAATAACCTATGCACCCCGATGTTCATAACAGCGCTATTTACAGTAGCCAAGTGCTGGAAGCAGCCTAAGTGCCCATCAGTAAATGAGTGGATCAAAACGCTTGGTACATTTACACAATGGAATACTACACAGCAGGAAGAAAGAACTCCTGGAACTGGAGAGTGTTATGCTAAGTGAAATAAACCTTGCCGTGAAAGACAAATACCATATGATCTCACCTATAAATGGAACCTAATCAACAAAACAAAAAAGCGAGCAAAACAGAACCAGAGACAGGGAAACAAAGAACAAACTGACAATAACCAGAGGTGAGGGGGAGGAGGGTAATGGGGGATGAAGGGGAAGAGTCAAGTCAAAGAGCGAGTATGAAGGACCCATGGACAAGGACAGCAGGGGTGGGGGAGCATTGAATGTGGGAGGTGGGGGGCAGGGGAGAGAAATGGGGGGGAAATGGGGACAGATGTAATTGAAGAACAATGAAAAAAAAAAAAGAAAACGTAATGATCCTGAGCCTTTTGCTTTGCTTTAACTTTTTGAATGTGAATAGGTCTCTTCAGGGGCTGGCAAACCCCAATCTCTGGGTTTATAAGAGAGATGTCCCTAAGACTGAAGACCTCAGAGTTCCTTGAAATGTAAATATTTCTGGGATCCACCTCATAGCCCACCTCCTTATCTAATTAACCCTTTGTCTCTGTAGGAGATGAGACTTTTTGTTTGTTTGTTTTTGCTTTTGCTTTGCTGTATAAATTGTGTGAAATTTCATCCTGACATATATGTGGGACTATGCTATGCTAACATAATAATAAATCACTTTTCTTTCTTTCTGTATTGAGGTGAAGAGGTGTCTTTTTGTTGGTAGTACTTTTACATCCTCAAAAGTATATTGGTACAACTTCTTTGGAAGCTGACTGACAAAATTCCACTAAGAATTTATCCCAAGATATACTGTTAGACATGCACAGCAAGAAAAATTCTAGAAAAAACATTAAGTGTCCTTCATTAGGCACAGATAGAATAAATTATGAAGCAGTCATACAGTAGAATACTATGCGACTCCTCAAAACAATAGCAACTGTATTGGCATGGAAGGATCTCTAAGCTATACTGTCAAGTCAGTAAAGTAAGGTGCAAAATTAAGGGTTTGCTATAATCATATGTATATACTATATATTTGTAGATACACAGGTTTTGGGAAGAGTAAGGATTAATCTGTCAATGGTCGTTTTCTCAAGAAAGAGGGATTGGTAGTTGGGTGGGGAGGGTATAAGAGATTTTTACTTTTTTTCTTTCCTCTTGTTTCCTGTTTACTGTTAAGTAATATCAATATAATATTTTATAGTAAATATACTGGTTTTAAATGTAAAATAAAGCAAAGTGCAACCACCACACAGACCTAACAGATATTACTAGACTACTGTCGCCCAAGCAACATGAAAGCAGGGTGTCTGTTGGCTTTAAGTCTATATATAACCCCATTGCTTCGAACAGTATCGTGCACACAGTATATGCTCAATAAAAATTTGTAATTGAAACCTAAATGCCTTTTTTGTCTTGACCAAAAAGCTTGACCTTGGAGTTACTTGATCTTAAGGACAAATCTTAAGGCAATTTTTGTTGATTTTCCAACATGTCTTACATCTTTTCTTGTCTATTCCTTTGTTCATTGTTGCTCTATCAAGCAGAAGTGCCCTCTCCTTTGATCTCCCTTCTCTGCCTGTTGGAAATTATACACCTCTTTCAAGCTAAACTGAAACTTCAATCTCCAGTGAAGTTTTTTTTTAAACCTGCCTGGAAAAATGATTTGTCTCCTTCACTCAAGATCTCATGATAGCCCTAGGTGCCTACCTCCCATCACTTACTGTGTATTATGACTTGTTTTAATTGTGTCTGTACATGTGTCCTTTTACCTGCAACTGTGACATTTTAGGCTAGTAAAACCATTCTCATGATTCCCCACCCCTGCCCCCATCCATCCTCACAGGTATAGTGCTATGTGGCCATCAGCCCATTTAATTTTAATAATTGGGGTGTGAGTTTCAGTTCCTTGGTTATCTCCCATTGATTTTTTTTCCAGAAGTCCTGTCGAAGTCTCTTCATTTGTATAAGCTATACGTATCCTAAAATTCAGCCTGCATTCCCTCTTCCTGCAGGAAGCCTTCCCTGATACCTTGAGCTCCAGAGAATAACCCTTCTTATCTCTTATAACCATTATAAACCATTAATATATTAACAATTTATTGGAACTGACATGTGTAAAACACTTAATATCAACAGTGCTTTCAAGTAAGTAACATTTTTGAGGCTAAGAAATCACAGCATACCAAACCGTACAATCAGATTGTGAAATGAATCTTTTCACACCCAAACATGAAGTCTAAGTCAAAGAAATGAATTCACAAACAGATAAAGCTCCTCAGAGAAGACTGAGAACAAAGTTTTGCAGTGCTCCTGTTGCTGTACATATTGGAAAAGAGAATGCTTTCTTGTTATACAATCAGGCAGTGGACTCTACCACTTTCTCAGGATGACTTAGTTTAAGTCCTGTCCCCTTCCTCTTCCTCATTTTCCACATTTACAAAAACAAGGCAGAACGACCCATGCCAGCTCCTTTATGAAAAGAATCAAGTCAACTAAAAGTGGGATTTGGCTAAGAACCATTCTGGAGCTTTCTCTGGCTTCAAATGTCATCCCCACCACACCCACCCCGTCCTCTCTCTTGCTCGCTCTCTCTCTCTCTCAGCAGTTCTAGATGCAGCCTTTAACTGGACTTTAAAGGCCACTTCAGTTTCTTTTCTTTTTTTAAAGGCCAGTTCAGTTTCTTTTGCCATTGGTTCACATCAAATTAGAATTACAGAAAGTATAGAGCCTTTATCAAAACAGAAGTGCCCTGGAATGTTTTCAAAAGTATTATTTTTAGTAGATGTAGATAAGGCCATTAAATGATGAGTTTCACACATTCTACTACCTAAATCAAATATTAGCAATTATTTCCTTTCACTTTTATGGAGATGCAAGACCCAAAGCTTCATTTAAATTTCAAAGCTTGAGGATACTTGAGAAAAGATACCTGAGCCTTCTAAAGCCTGTTTGGGTTTTGTTGTTTTTGTTTGTTTGTTTGTTTGTTTTTAGTAATCCATAAATTATAGAGCATTCAACTTAATAGAACTGAAGGAAAACCAGAGCAAATTCTGCAGGATTGTAATACCGTAAAAAATGAGAACTATGTAGGAACAAACAGAAATGTTCTCACTTTGGCAGGTGGGGAGAGGGTATAGTGCTTGAATCATTAAAATTAACAAAAACTTTACCTAAAAACGCATCAGCAATCTATACTTCCAGTACACTGTCTTTTAATCATACATACTGGTGGAGTCTGTAAACACCAATTTTCTAAAATATAAAGAAGTTTCCTCCGTCATCTCTTCTGTTTTTGCAACAAAGCTTATCATTTATTTCAAACAAAGTTAATCTGAAACAGTTTGACTCTCCTGTGTGCACTGTTGTGCTTGTAGTTTTAGTATTCTGAGCAGTCTCAGGGGCAACAGGTGTTAAAAACATTTCTATACCCTGCCTCTATGCTCTGTTTCTTGTGACACCCTAAACCCTTCACAGCAGTGACTTGGGAGGAAGCTCGCAATTTGCTTTGTGGGTTTTAATGCTGCAATGCCTAAAGCTCTAAGCAGCCCCGGTCTTCTCTTTCGTCTCCTTCCCTTACAGACACTTGGCCTCTGAAACTTAGATCTGTGTTTTAAAAAACAAGAAGCCCCTAGCAACGGACAAGGCCTCAGAAATCTCAGGAACATTTGGACAGAAAACAGAACCTGGAAATCTTGTCTGAAGACCTTGAAGACATGATAATAAGTTGTGCGAATAGGTTACCTGGTTTCCTTATTGCTTCCTTTCCTGATACAAATCTCTGGCTCTGCAAGGTTTAAGTCTTAATTTCTCAAAGCCTGTAGCTCCCCTGACCTCTTTTGGCTCATGGGAGTCTGGAAAGTTTGAGATGATGTCTCAAAATATTCTTCTTTCGAAAGCCCAGAATATTTCAGAGTTAAGTTCCTGTTTCTTTTCTCCCTTTCTCTACATGAAATATGTATGTTTTTTTAACCTTTCAACTAATTTATTAGTTTATTCCTAAGGACCTCTGGAGAAAACTGAATATGAATCAGAAAGGAAAGGCGAGAAAGATAAGTCCACTTACCGTCTTCTGAACTACCAACACCATAATGGTTGCCACAGCAAAGATGAGACACACAGCCAGTGTGGCTGTGGTGAAATAGAAATAACGGCCAGTGGTTCCCAAGTGGCTGGTGACGGCGGAGCCTGTTGGTTCATGCATGGCTGTGTCTTGAGAAGGGGCCACTCGGCTGAGTGCTTGCTGCAGTCCTGGGCCCATTCTTATATAGTCTTCCCCACATCACACCTTATCTCTCCTCATCTGATTCGGTTCTGGGCCCATCTCGGTTCCAAGAAGGATTCTCCCCTGCATCCTGGATCATGTGACTTGGAAAAAAACCTTCACCAGCTGCCTCGCGAAGCAACTCTTCTCTGGGGGCGTGAGGTGAAAGTCTGCAGCAAGGGTGGGGGAGAGGCTCATTTTTCATCGCCAGGGATTAATTTGAGTGCAGAGAAACTGTAGCTACACAGAAGATGGCTGATGTCAGAGGGCGAGTAGGAAAATGACAGTTTCCCTATTATGGGGGGTTGGGGGATGGGGAGGTGCCTGCGCGTGCACACACAAGCAGAGTCACTTCTGCTTCGTTCAGACACAGCCGCAAAACGTCTTCCGGCTCGAGATGCTGCACGCTCTCTTCAGGGAGGCTTGCAGATCAGGAGATCTTGTCAGGAAAAGTCTCTTTGCTGGGCCTCAGGGAGGTTGGATTCCTCGGGTTCCCTTTGACAATATTGCTCCTGCTGAAAACTGGAACTGCTACCAGATATCTGGGAAGGAAGAGCCAACGAATGTGGAGATTTATCCAAAGAAGGACAAGCTCGTGGCAGGATAAAATTTGGGGATAGGTGCAAAGAGACTGTGAGCAGGAAATCTGCACACACTGATCTTGTGAATAAAACTTTCTTCAAAGTGTATTGGGACTGTTAAAGCTGAAGATACCCTGGGCTTGCCGTAAAACTCACAGAAGGGGGAAGAAATGTGTCGTGCGGGTGGGGGTGGGGGTGGGGAAGCGGCTGGATGCCGCAAGCGAGGGGTGTGTGCGCACGTGCTGCGTGGGGGTGGTTGCATGTGCGGTATGCATTTGTGATGTGCATGTTGTGTGCATATGTATGTATTGTGTGTGGTGTGTATGTATGGGACTATTATAGTTGAACCTCCACTGTTTCAGGCACTGTGTAAGGAGCTTTGCACATGGCCTCACTCCACCCTCATCTCCGCCCTCTGGGGCAGGTAATACTTCTTTTTTCCAGATGGGAAAATTGAAAATCAGAGAGAATGGCAATTGTCTCAGGCCAAGTCTCAAATGTTGACCAATGAGATAACTCAGGTGCATAGCTATACCTGGCTCGGCCTGCAAGCCCAGGCGAAATCATTCAGCTGTCACTGCACTGTGAAGGCTGAAAACCTGAGGTTGGGTCTCAGCCCTGCCCCTTCCTGGCCTTGTGTCCGTGTACAAATCGTTATGGCCTTCCCTTTTCCCCGTAGGCTTTGACAGCTACCGTGAGGATGAATGGGCTAGTGATGTAAGAGTACTTCACAAACGGGAATAGACTTGGCCGTGGTGTTGAACCATTCCGGTTAAGCATGCGAAGTGGTCCCCTGGGCCCAGCCTGGAATTTAAATAGATTCAAGAAATAGATTCTTTGGGGGACGGAGCTGGTCACTTCTGTGCTTATTAATGTTCTCCATGTCAAAACACCATTTAAAATGTGAATCACTGCAGAGCTGGTGCCTCCAGATAAAGCTCTTTGAAAACTTCATGTGGAAGTACCTGATTCTTTGAAGCACCCCTCCCCTTTCTGCTCACTTTTTAGCTGTAGTATATCTCTGAGAACCAGCAGAAAGCCCAGATCTTCCTAAGGAAATGTCTCATGTCCCCAGCCAAGTTTGGACCCCTGTGCAGGGATCCCAAACTGCTGAGCATCACCCGACTTAGGTCAGGCTCTAGGAACTGGTCTGGATATTCCTTGCCAGTGAATCTATAAAATCGCAGATTCTGGATATGGAAGAGCCATCCAGAAGTACATTGTTTTCTTGGGCTAAATAGAGTACGAGGCTGTATACCCACTTTACACTCAAAGTAGCTGAGGCCCCTTGATCCCAAGTTGGGATTTTATCCTCCCAGTTTTATTGGGAAATAATTGATATACATCACTCTGTGTTTAAGATGTACAGCACAATGTTTATATTATCTATAAATATTATATATTATATTGGTATATAAATATTGCATATAATATATATAATAATTCCCACAATGGGTTCAGCTAACATCTGGGCTTGGTTTAGGATGAAGTCAGCACTCACACTCCTTTAGCCTGGTAATTGAGATGGGAATGAAGCAAGCAAGCCAGTGGGCTTTTTTTTTTTTTTTCCACATGTGTACCTGGCTGTCTTTGGGAGAAGGCCATGTCCTGTGGTGCGCATGGGCAGTGAGTGGGTAGCAGGGGACTCAGTAATCTGCCCAGAGCTGCTGAGAACAGGCTGCTCCCTCGGCCCCTCTCTTCACTCTCTTTGATGAAAGTGGAAAACTTCTGATTGTTGAATGGAAGCTGTGGGTGTTGAAAAATAAAAAAGGTTTGCTTGAAGTGCAGGTCTTCCTGAAGGCCCATGGGGCTGAGAAGGGCAATGGAAAAAAATGTTTGTCTTACAGTCACCCGTTTTGCATATAGTACAATGTCCTGGGAGGGAAGGCTGACAAGGGGGAAAAATCAACCTTTGTGTTTACTCAGAACCTTCTGAGCAGTTGAGATTTTCAGATCAGTCTGCTTCTCCAGCAGCTTGTGGTGCTTCTCCCTTCGCAAACCCCCGGTGGGTTCCCTGATTCCTGCCCCCACTGGCTGAAACTCCGGGCTGTCTGGCTGTTCTAGGAGCGAGCCCGACCCACCTAACGGCCCCGTCCGTTGTGCTAACTGGCTTTTTTTCTCCCTTCTGTTCAGCCACCTAATGTACCAATGGAAAAAGCCTTTACAAAAGTTCTTGTTGAGCGATTCTCAAATTCTTTCTGGAAGTGAAACTGGGCAGGGAGTGAGCGCTGTATGAAAGCAGAGCGTCTCTGGCCAGAGCAGATGGGACAGGGCAAGGGCTGAACCCAGCCTGCTCATTTTACCTTTTAATGGCCTGGGGTCTCTCCAAGATGGAACAACATTTGGAAACTTGCGATTTAGCTCAAAACCTTCATTGCTCAAATCGGGGAACTGAGACAAACAAATGGAAATGACTTGTGGGAGTTCACATGGGAAGGATAGAGACAAGCTTAGACGTCCCCTGTGCTCATTCTCATCCCTTCTCCACTAATATTCCAGGAATGCCCAGGTTTCTTTTCATGTCCTCCTCCCTCTTCCGCTGCTTCAGGTCCTTCCTCTCCCTCCAGGGCCACTGCCAGTCTGCCTCACCTCCTCCCGAAGAGCTTGTTTAGACCTCTCAAGTCCACCAACATCCTCTCTCAGGACCCTCTGTCTCCATGCCCCCTAAAATTGTTTCTCATTATCTACTAACTGCATGTGATTGACATATGATTGTCAAGTGCATGAACCTGTGTGAATTTTGCCTTCCCCATAAGATTGAGAGTCTTTGAGGTCAGCCTGCACTTTCCCAGTCTCCTGATTCCTCTCACCCCACCCTGCGATAGTTGGTGCTGGGCCTAGGAATGATCGGCCCTCAGTCAGTGCTTGTGCTGACTTTGTGTATGGAGAGAGAAAGTTCTAGAAGTTTGGCTTATAAAAGGGATTGTGTGATATCCCCCATTTCCTTGTCCTTCTCCATGTGGAGTGACCACCAGCCTCCTTTTAGCCTCAAATTAGTAGTGAGGTGTGGCTGCAGCATCTGAGACTCAGTGGGCAAAAAGAATGAATTTCTTATCCCTTCAAGAAAGAGCCCCATTCTCAAAATGAGGAAGCAGCTCTAGAATGCCCTCCCCCCTACCACCAGTGCTTCCCCAGGGAAGGGACTGTGAGATCTTTAGCATGTGGACTCATAGTTCTGAAAGTGTGACCCCCAGACCAGCGGTAGTAGGCCTTGGTGTCACCACAGATTCTCAGTCTCCACCCTAGACTTACCGAACCAAAACTCAGGTGGGGTCCAGCAATCTGTGTTTTAATAAGCACCCCCAGGGAGTTGTGATTTGTGAAAACATTTGGAAATCGCTAGTGTAAGGAAATGACCTTTCTATTCCAGGATGAACCTCCAAGGGACTATCTTGTCTAGACTATGGCCTTCGGGCAGATGAACCCCCATTGTATAGATGAGAAAACTGATGCATAGAGAAGGTACTGTCCAGGGTCATGCAGCTGTGGAATGTTGACCTGAAGACTTGTTTTTCTATCCCTCGATTGAGAGCTGTTTCCAAACTCAAATATGGCTGTAGGCTATAAAAATACTATTGCTTATCCAGGTGGAGATATATTTGTAAAATATATCTAAAGTTCTCTTGTGGTGATCATTTTCTGTGGTAGAAAGATGTATTTAAAAACTATTTGTATATACAAGAGAGGGACAAACTCCCTCAGGGTGTTTTTGAGCAATAAAATATGTAATGACAATGCTTGCTGAGGAGGAACGGTCCTGTCCCATTAGCTGGGCAGCCTTCTGTTTTGGGGGGCTACCTTGACTAGATGGGACATTCGAGTTGGCCAGAGTGACAGTCACTAAGAGGATGCAGCAAAGACAGACACAGTGGGAGGAAGGTTTAGAGTAGGGTCAGCAAACTCCAGTCACAGGCCATATCTGGCCTGTCACTATTTGATAAATAAAAATGTAACATAGTCATGTCCCTTCACTTACGCACCATCTATAGCTGAGTTTGCACTACAACTGCAGCATTGAGTACTTGGTATAGAGACCTCACAGCCCACAGGGTCTGGAATATTACTATTTAGCCCTCTACAGAAAAAGTTTGCTGACCTCTGGGTTAGAGTATTAAAATAAACACAAGGCAGGGTGACCAAAGAAGGGATTTGGAGAATAGAACAGAAATGTGTTTCCTCAGGGTCCCCTATGAAATCTTTACTTATATTTACGTTGCTAACCCATACCTTCCTGTGAGAAAATTCTTTTTTAGGATTCACCAGTTGCAGAGGAGCTAGATGTCCTGATTGGTACATGCCAAAAATAGACTACTAGAGAGGACACAGGAGCTGAGAGAGAGAGATGTGGCAGAAGACACGGGGGAAATATATAGATAGATATGTTTTCAATATTGGGTATATATGTGTTCATAAATATGCAATACACATATACATATATATGAGTATATGTACATATATACATGAATTATATGCATATGTACATACACACACACACACATATACATATATATGTTATTACTGCTGAGTTAAAAAATGTTTTGAGGCAACTTTAAATCACAGATTTATAAGGATTGAAGCCATAAGACAAAAAGCAAAAAGTAGGAGCCAGGATATAAAGGTAGAGAGAAAGTAAATGGATTAAGAAACCCTGGCTGATGACAGTTTCAGCATTTGAGCA